GATGATGAAATGCTAAGGGAAATTAGAGAGGCTATCAAAATTAAGAACTCAATAATAGTGGGGGATTTCAATTATCCCCATATTGACTGGGAACATTTCACTTCAGGACGAAATGAAGAGATAAAATTTCTCGACACTTTAAATGACTGCTTCTTGGAGCAGCTGGTACGGGAACCCACAAGGGGAGAGGCAACTCTAGATTTAGTCCTGAGTGGAGCGCAGGAGCTGGTCCAAGAGGTAATAATAACAGGACCACTTGGAAATAGTGACCATAATACAATAACATTCAACATCCCTGTGGTGGGAAGAACATCTCAACAGCCCAACACTGTGGCATTTAATTTCAAAAGGGGGAACTATGCAAAAATGAGGGGGTTAGTTAAACAGAAGTTAAAAGGTACAGTGACTAAAGTGAAATCCCTGCAAGCTGCATGGGCGCTTTTTAAAGACACCATAATAGAGGCCCAGCTTCAATGTATACCCCAAATTAAGAAACACAGTAAAAGAACTAAAAAAGAGCCACCGTGGCTTAACAACCATGTAAAAGAAGCAGTGAGAGATAAAAAGACTTCCTTTAAAAAGGGGAAGTCAAATCTTAGTGAGGTAAATAGAAAGGAGCATAAACACTGCCAAATTAAGTGTAAAAATGTAATAAGAAAAGCCAAAGAGGAGTTTGAAGAACGGCTAGCCAAAAACTACAAAGGTAATAACAAAATGTTTTTTAAGTACATCAGAAGCAGGAAGCCTGCTAAGCAACCAGTGGGGCCCCTTGATGATCGAGATACAAAAGGAGCACTTAAAGACGATAAAGTCATTGCGGAGAAACTAAATGGATTCTTTGCTTCAGTCTTCATGGCTGAGGATGTTAGGGAGATTCCCAAACCAGAGCCGGCTTTTGTAGGTGACAAATCTGAGGAACTGTCACAGATTGAAGTGTCACTAAAGGAGGTTTTGGAATTAATTGATAAACTTAACATTAACAAGTCACCGGGACCAGATGGCATTCACCCAAGAGTTCTGAAAGAACTCAGATGTGAAGTTGCGGAACTATTAACTATGGTTTGTAACCTGTCCTTTAAATTGGCTTCTGTACCCAATGACTGGAAGTTAGCTAATGTAACGCCAATATTTAAAAAGGCTCTAGAGGTGATCCTGGCAATTACAGACCGGTAAGTCTAACGTCAGTACCGGGCAAATTAGTTGAAACAATAGTAAAGAATAAAATTGTCAGACACATAGAAGAACATAAATTGTTGAGCAATAATCTACATGGTTTCTGTAAAGGGAAATCGTGTCTTACTAATCTATTAGAGTTCTTTGAAGGGTCAACAAACATGTGGACAAGGGGGATCCAGTGGACATAGTGTACTTAGATTTCCAGAAAGCCTTTAACAAAGGCTCTTACGTAAATTAAGCTGTCATGGGATAAAAGGGAAGGTCCTTTCATGGATTGAGAACTGGTTAAAAGACAGGGAACAAAGGGTAGGAATTAATGGTAAATTCTCAGAATGGAGAGGGGTAACTAGTGGTGTTCCGCAAGGGTCAGTCCTAGGACCAATCCTATTCAACTTATTCATAAATGATCTGGAGAAGGGGATAAACAGTGAGGTGGCAAAGTTTGCAGATGATACTAAACTGCTCAGGATAGTTAAGTCCAAAGCAGACTGTGAAGAACTTCAAAAAGATCTCACAAAACTAAGTGATTGGGCAACAAAATGGCAAATGAAATTTAATGTAGATAAATGTAAAGTAATGTACATTGGGAAAAAATAACCCCAACTATACATACAATATGATGGGGGCTAATTTAGCTACAACAAGTCAGGAAAAAGATCTTGGAGTTTGCAAAGCACCTTTATTTCAGGCTAAATGAAAGGAGTGATTGACTACCCCTGTATATAATGATAGATGTAAACAGTAGAAGCCACCTTCCAAGACACTGGGCCACATGGCATGGCCAATCAGAAAGTAAGCCATGTGGGCTGAGGGGTTTCCCTGAAACTAATTGCAAATATAAAGAGCTAGTGGATTGTTTGGCAAAGTGTATGTGTGTGAGAAGCAGAGAGACGGGAGAAAAAAGCCAGCAGAAAATGAGAGAAGCAGGAGTGAAAATGGCCCAGAGACAGAGTTCTTCCAGACTTGGAAATGGTGAGCCAGGGACCTGCCTGCTGATTGTGTGTTTCTACTGTGTTCAGGAAACAGGACTTCATGTGCACTCTTTGTAAATAAATAGGTTTGAACCAAAGAAATACCTGACCTGTATCTCCCAGGGTCAAGATTTCAAGTTTTCTCTGCAGTTACAACGGTGGCAAACTTACTTCTTTTTTAAACGCAAGCTGCATTTCTCCTGTGATCACATGACTCCAGGAGCTGGAAGCCCTAATGTCACGGAACTCCCAAGAGTTGGAAGCCCAGCAATGGGCTAAACAGCATATAAGAGCTTGTTCCATCTTAGATTTCTTTGTCAGTAAAGAAGACAACCCCTCACGTTGCTCTGCCCTATTCTCCAGGTCTATTTCAGCGGAAGAGGTGAAACACGCCTCTGTGTTAAGTGTTACCGAGAGCGACTTGATCACCATGGCACTGTTGAACTTCCAGTACGTGCTAGAGGAAGATGGAACCAAAATCACCTACTATAACTTTCAGACTCTGCAGAGGCAAGTGATTCACCGCTTCATCAGTGGGAAGCCCGTCGTGAAAGCCCAGGTGAGTTCAGGATGAAATCATAGAGGCGCCGTTTTGCCATAGACTTCAGCACAGCCAGGATTTTACTCTCAGTGCTTCCTGCTCTGCGGCCTGACATCTGTGTGGAGTCATTCACACCTGAGCAAAATGGGTGCAAACCACAAACAAATTAGTATGCACAGGTGGAAATGGTGATGGGAGTGAAAGACCTGATCCACTGTGGCCTTACTCCACATTTATACGTTTTAAGATCCAGTGACTTCAGTGGGTTTACACTGGTATAAATTGGGAGTAATGCATTGGCAAATTGTGTTTAGACTCATTTTAAAATTTTCAACAGAGCCTAAGTGACTTAGGAGCCTAAGACCCATTTTTCTAAAGGGACTTAGGAGAAGAGCTGGTTGGGAATTTGATACAATTTTGTTATTGGAAAATGCCAATTTATCAAAACCAAAACTTCCCATGGGAACATGCTGATTTTGACAAATTGTTCACTTTAAAAAAATTGGAGAAATGTTTTGAAAATATAAAACATCTCATTTCCACATTTTTGGAACAAAATGTTTTGATTTCTGCTTTGAAATGGGTGTATATTTTAAAATTAGTTATTTCTTAGTTTAAATTTTAAAAATAAAAGTAAAAAGGTCAAAGTCAAAATTAAACATTTTGAAATTATCAAAACATTTCAATGTACCCAAAACAAAGATTTTTTTCAGGTTTTCTGTCTGAAAATTTTCAAGATTTTGAGTTCCCATATCAATTTGGGAAGAGAAAACATTTTGAACTCTTAAATTCTTGCAGGATAGAAAAACTATTTCCCTCACAGCTTTGCTTAGAAGCCTAAATTGCACTGACTTTCAGAGAGACGTGGGCTCCTAGGAGCCAGATTTTTTAACGTCTTTAGGCATCTAGGGGCCTAGTGGAATTTTCAAAAGTGTCTAATCAGGTTAGGTGCCTGATTCCCATTGAAAAACAATGTGATTTAGGCCAGGGGTGCCAGAACAGGGGCCATGGCCCCTCCTTTTTTTACCAGCCATAAGTGTAAGCGATGCAGGGAGGGGGCAGAGAGGAGCAAGTGGTATCAGGGCATCGGGGAGAAGGGGCGGTGCGAGGGTGGGGCCTCAGGAGAAGGTGCGGTGCAAAGGCGGGACCTTGGGAGAAGGGTCAGTGTGAGGAGGCGGGGTCATGGTTCGGGTGCCCATGGCCCCTCTTCTTTTAGTTGCCTTATGTCGCCCCTGATTTAGACACCCAAGTGATTAAATCATCTTTAAAAATAGGACTTATGTTCCTAAGTCACTTAGGCTGCCCTGAACACTTTAGTCTAAACTCCCATTGATTTCAATGGGTGATTTTTGAAAATCCCATTAGGCAACTTTAAAAATCTGGCCCTAAGAGCCTAAGCCACTTTTCAAAATGGACCTTTGGCTCCTAAATCCCTTAGGTGCTTTTGAAAACTATGCTCTAACCCTTGGTGTGTGCTTCAGGGTTGTTGTTTTTCTGTATTGAACAATGTTATGCTTTATAAACCAGTTATTAATCACTAATGTTTTCATTTTCAGACAGCTCCGTCCATTACACCGAACAATGTGAAGACTCTGTACTCCACGAAAATTAATGTTAAAAAACAATTGTGCCAGGTAAGATCAATAACAACTCTGGGTTTTCCCCAGCTCCAGACTCAGATAATCCTCTTTCTTTCACCCATTGTAAAGGGCTTTCAGACCCCTATAGGGTCAGAAGGTTGAGTAAATATCCCAAACAGTAGCATAGCTAGCGGGGTGCAGGGGAAGCAGCCGCTTCCCCTCAGCAAATTTGCCCAAAGAGGCGCCTTTCCAACTGCGGTCGGAGGAGCGAGGAGGGGCGCAGGCTGGCCGCTCACAGCCGGCAGCCATGCGGGGGCAGCAGGCGCACAGCCGGAGGAGCGGGGGGGCATGACCGGAGGAGGGGAGGGCGCAGGCTGGAAGGCCGCAGCGTGGCCGGCAGCCATGGGTGGCCAGCGGG